GGAAGACTTGACAGAAAAGGGGGAGACAGGACCAGGTACTGCTGCCAGCAGTGCCACTGGGAGGCACAGAGAGCTGGAGAGGATAGCGTAGAATTCCAAGTTCATGGTCTCATGGGCTTGATCTAGGCTGCAACTAGCTTCCTTTTAGGTTCTCCAATGCTGACTTTTTTGAAACTGCCAACATTTGCAACAAGAATCAGTTAGAATCCAGATTTCTGAATCTTCTTGAAATTCTAGGACATGAGACATCTGAGAGACTGACTTTGCATTTAGACATCACAATTACTACAGCTTGGTAGTGGGTATCCTATAAAGACAGAGAAGGGAGACTCTCTATTTCCCTTTTCTCTACTTGCTTCACACACTGAGGATTCTTTCCGCCAGATCCCTGAATGAGAGCATCCTGAGGTTCCGTATGGTTGGAGCACGGGATGAAAGGGGACCCGGCTAAAGAGGTGTGTGAGGGCCAGCAAAGAACACTGCCCTCAGTGAAGGAGCCTGGGCTGTAGCCCCAGGCCAGTAGGGAGTTGCCCAAGAGTTTATAGCAAAAGACTGATAGCATGTGGGTTGAGTTTTCAGCAAGGGTGATAGATTCAAGAAGGAAGACCAGATATAATAAGGAAGTCATTGGTATTAATCCATGTTTTTCTTACTTCTAAGGCATCCATTAACTGGCTCAACAGTATAAACACAAGGCTTCATGTCTTCTTCCTAGGATTCTTCACCCCAGTCCTCACCATTTCCCAAGACTGACTCCGACTCCCTTTCACTTTGCAGGGAGGGAGACAAAAGCAGTGCTTAATCAGTCACGTGGTGCCAGGAGCCTGAGCTGAATTCTGACTTTGTCGATAGGGTGTGCCTTTGTCATTAGCCTGCGACTTTGTGTAAGATAATCAACTTCTCTCAGGCTCAGTTTGCTCATCTATAAACTGCAGATAACAACAGCTACCCTACTGGGCTGATCGTGGATGGAGGAACTGATGGTGCATACTACACACTTGAGACATGTTAGAATACAGCCCCAGAACAGGACATCTTATGAAAACATGACGGTGGTTATCACCTGACTCTTGGCTCTTGGTCTGGAAGGCTGGAAGGACCCAGCTTCTTTTCTTGGATATGCACATGTGAGGGCTAGTGACAGGTATACCCCATTGCTCATTTGGAGCAGGTGCCTTATTTGTAATAATCAGTCTGCTTTCCACATATCTATGACATAAACAGGGGAAAACCCCTCTTGCTTTTTTCACTGTAAGATTGCATAAGAAATACTGATTTTAACTACTCACTTATGCAACCTTACACTCTTCCAATTGACATTTGAGAGTCCACTGATTTTTTTTTTAAAAAGATATATTTATTTTGAAAGTCAGAGTTACACAGAGAAGGAGAGGCAGTGAGAGTGAGAGTGAGAGTGAGAGAGAGAGAGAGAGAGAGGTCTTTCATCTGCTGGTTCACTCCCCAGATGGCTGCAATGGCCAAAACTGCACTGACCCAAAGCCAGGAGCCAGGAGCTTCTTCCGAATCTCCCACACAAGTGCAGGGGCCCAAGGACTTGGGCCATCTTCTACTGCTTTCCCAGGCCATAGCAGAGAGGTGGATCGGAAGTGGAGCAGCTGGGACTCGAGCCAGTGCCCATATAGGATGCCAGCACTGCAGGTGGTGGCTTTACCCACTATGCCACAGTGCCGGCCCCATGGGCCCACTGATGTTACTGTGGGATTTTACCATGCTACTGAAGGATTACTGGTGGCAGCAGTGACGGTGCAGGTGGCAGGTGTGCAAGATGAGCCTCCCTGGCTGTCCCTGAATTGGCTGGTCTCCCGCACATGCCCTCCTGATCACTTGCTGCTCTTGATAATCCACTTGAGTCCACCCTCCGCACGGCAGCTGGAGAGGGCTTTTCAAAATGTGAATTTGTTGGGGCTGGTGCTGCGGCATAGCAAGTAAAGCAGTGCCGGCATCCCATATGGACGTCGATTCAAGTCCTGGCTGCTCCATTGCTGCTCCAGCTCTCTGCTGTGGCCTGGGAAAGCAGTAAAAGATAGCCCAAATCCTTGGGCCTCTGCACCCACATGAGAGACCCAGAAGAAGCTCCTGGCTTCGGATTGGCACAGTTCCAGCCATTGCAGTCATTTGGGGAGTGAACCGGCAGATGATCTCTCTCTCTCCCCTCTCTTTCTCTGGTTCTGCCTTTCGAATAAATAAATAAATCTTTAAAAACAAAATGTGACTTTGGTGGTGGTGGTGGGGAAGGGAGGCAGGCATTTGGCCTAGCCGTTAAGACGCCTCTTGTGACACCCACACCCTGTATTAGAATGCCTGGGTTTGAGCCCTGGTTCTGCACCTGTTTCCAACTTCCTGCTAACGCACACTCTGGGAGCAGCGGGTGATGGCTCTAGTAACTGGGTTCGTGCCACATACATGGTAGATCTGGATGGAGTTCTAGGTTCCTGATTTCCACCTTGCCCAGCCATTGTCAATGAGGGCATCTGGGGAATGAACCAGTGGAACAGAGATCTCTCTTTCTTGTTCTCTGCCTTTCAAAAAAAATAAAGCAAAATTTAAAAATATGCATTAGACCATCTTATTCCCTTATCTACAACTCCTTATTCCTTACTCCATCAAGGCCCATGTTTTCCTGGAAACCCCACGCATAGCAGCCCTAGCCACTCAGGGTCTTGCCTGTCTCTGAGTCTGATACGGTCCCCTCCACTTTCCTGGGTCTCAAGTGTTATTTCCTTAGACAGGTCCTCCGAGCTAACTAAGCCCTCATGAATCTCCCTACTGGCCTACTTACAGCACCCGCAGCCTTCTTGTCATTCCACTTCCCTCGAACTCATTGAAGAGGAATGTGCACATCATCTTATCTAACTCCACTTCTGGACTGAAAGATCTGCTGGGGCCAGGAATGTGCCTGCCTTGCTCCCCACTCTATCTGCCTGACCCAGGCCCAAGAAGGCACATACACACAACATATTATGGAAATATCCTCTTAGATCACTGTGGGGAGCAACCCGGACTAGACTAAGTTACTGGAATTAAGACTTATTCTATGCATCTGCTCTCCCACAATATGGCGCTGGGAGAGGAGAAACCAGCTTCTACGCAGCTGCCTCCAGTTCAACCAATAAACTGTGCTCCTGATTGGAGGAGAGCAGCGTACTCGGCGTGTGGGTAGCAGAGGTGGGTTGGTTGGAGAGTGCGTTGGAGAGTTCGCGGGGAAGTTCGTTACTTCGTTCTTTCTCATTTCTCTCTACTCATTCTTGCTTTGGGAGTTTGCTGTTTACTTATTCTTACTTTACTATAGAAAGGACTTGTAAAAAAAGGGAACAACAAGCGTCCGGTCCGGGAGCAGCAAATGGTGCCGTGACTCGGATAGGAAGCCTAGGCAGGGTTTAGTGTCGTTCCCCCATGAAGACGGGGAGCGACAGATCACTATTTCACTCAGCATCTACTTGACCAAAGGGAGATGGAGCCGATAAACAAATACTCCGTCTGTCTGTCTGTCTTGCACTCTCTGCAGTGGCTCAGAGGGTCCTAGCAAGCCCAGGCCTTAGCTACTTACAGAGTTCATGCACCCTGGCTAGTCTTTCTTTCTCTGTTCCATTCCTTCTGCTCCCTACTCCTTTCCTCATCCCTATTCCATGGGCTCACTTCCCCAAAGAAACCACCTGCTTAGGAGTCCTTCTCCAACACCGCTTTTGGTGGGGGCGGGGTCTGAGCTGCCATAGCTACCGTTTTAATTCCTTTTCCTGGACCATTTTTCTACGTTTGGGTCTCTGGCTGTGTTTTGGGCTTCTGAAAGGTGCCCAAATTTCCAAAAATTACTAACTCAAGGCCTGTCAAATTATCAACACACATATGTTGATTTTGATCTGATGTGACAAAAGGAAAGCACACAGCGGTTATCTGGGGCCGAGGGGAAGCCAGAGCCACTGCTGGGGCAGAGACCTGACCTGTGCCTGGTATTAGATAAGGCCAAGGGCCGCCAGGGCGGTTACAGCTTTCTCATTTGTGTTCCCTGCTTCTTTCCCAGGCCCCTGCTCCCTTCACGTCCAGCAGCCGCAGGTCAGCAGCCGCTCCAAGTAGCTCCAGAGTTTGGGCAGGCCTGGAGCTGGGACGGTCACGTGAGGGCGTTCCGCCTGCCACCTGCTTCCTCCAACTGGGAGTAGGAGAGGGAAATCAGCTCCCCTCCCTCCCTCAGGGGCAGGCATCGCAGGTCTGTCATCTGGTGCTGGAAGCCAGATGCCAGTTCCCTCTGCCACAAGGCCACACTCAGGGACTGCAATGAATGACTTCACAGCTCTGTGCCAGTCTTGACCGAACCTCTTGGCTAGAGGCAGACAAGCAGCTGGTAACGGTGCACACCGCCCTGGGTAAGAGCTGTAGTTGTGGGTCTACCACTAATTGGATGCTTCTGTGGTCATGTACCACTTTGCCTACTGTTTCCCGAAAATGAAAAGGTTGCACTAGATGGATCTCCAAGAACCTCCGGAACTGGAAGGAAGCTCATCTTGTCAGTTACACTCCTAGGAGTCTCCTGATTGTTAGCAGTGCCGTAGCACCCTATCTACAACAAACCCACCACCCCACAGCTCCAGCCTACTTCCTGGCAGCTGCACTTCCTCACTTGGAATATACTTGATCGTGTCTGTCATAGAAACGGTGATTGAGATAATATGTAGATTCACGTTCAGTCACAAGAAATAACGCACTTTGCCTGTCTCCCCAATGATAACATTTAATACTTTAGCATGAGATCACAGCTAGGACACTGCCATGGATATAGTTCATCTCCCTTTTCCCCACTGCTCCAGTATTCTCTTGCACTCCTTTGTGGGTATATTTAGTTCCTCCTAACTTTATTGTATGTAGCACTGCACTCAAGATTCTTAACAGTTCACCAAGACCACCAGGATCCTGCTTCCCTTTTACAATCACACCTGCTCCCCTGCCCCATACTCCATCTCGCCCCCACCCTGCCTTGTGTTTTCCAAACCTTATTTGAGGGGCCAGTGCTGTGGCGTAGTGGGTTAAGTTGCCGCCTGAAGTACTGGCATCCCATATGGGTGCTTTTTTTTTTAAAAAAAAGATTTATTTATTTAAAAGGGTTACAGAGAGATGTAGAGACAGAGAGAGAGGTCTTCCATCTGCTGGTTCACTCCCCAGATGGCTGCAACGACCAGAGCTGTGCCCATCTGACCAGGAGCTTCTTCCGGGTCTCCCATGTGGGTGCAGGGGCCCAAGGACTTAGGCCATCTTCTACTGCTTTCCCAGGCCACAGCAGAGAGCTGGATGGAAGTGCAAAGCTGGGACTCAAAACCAGCACCCATATAGGATGCCAGCGCTTCAGTCCAGGACTTTAACCCACTGCGCCACAGCACCAGCCCCATGGGCGCTGATTTGAAACCTGGTCAGATCGGCACAGCTCCGGCCGTTGCAGCCATCTGGGGAGTGAACCAGTGGATGGAACAACTCTCTGCCTCTACATCTCTCTGTAACTCTTTCAAATAAATAAATAAATCTTTAAAAAAAAACCAGCTTATTTGGAAATTGACTTGAATGTTCCAGGACACTCTGTACCCAGTAATATTTTGCCTATTTGCTTTGTCCCTTTTTCCCAGTAAGGGGTGTTTTTCCTCTGGAACTACTGGAAGGTAAGTTGCACGTCATGGCCCCTTATTAATAAAGTCCTTCATGGTTCTTCAGTGTTATTTTCTTTTAAAAAAAACAGATTTCTTTTTCAGAGGCAGAGTTACAGAGAGAGGGAGAAATAGAGAGGTCTTCCATCCACTGGTTCAGTCCCCAAATGGCAGCAATGGTTGGAGCTTGGCCGATCCAAAGCCAGGAGCCAGGAATCTCTTCCGGGTCTCCCATGTGGGAGCAGGTGCCCAAGCAATTGGGCCACCTTCCCCTGTTTTCCCAGGCCTAATTAGCAGGGAGTTGGATCAGAAGTGGAGCAGCCAGGACTCCAATAGGTGCCCTTATAGGATGCCAGCACTGCAGGTGGAGGCTTAGCCTACTATGCCACAGCACCAGTCCCCCACCGTTATTTCTTAAAGACAGAGGTGAGTTGTACAGAGACAGGTCAAGTTAGGAACAACAGGAAGTCTACCGCTGACCCCACACCTTACTACCTGGATTCCAACCTTACCACAGTTTGCCCTGCATACCGGATCCATTCTAGGGTCAGGTAATGTATTCCCTCAGTACGGCCTCGTTCTCCAAGCCTCCTCCAGCATCTTTGAGGAATACCATCCCCTGCCCCTTCTCAGGAATCTTTCCCCATTTTGGATTTGTCTAAAGTCACATCATCTTCAGGTTCACATTATGCCTTCTCTCCCTCAGAGTACCACTTAGGCTAAGAGGTCTGAGTCCGTGACCCCTATCTGCTGTTACTGGTGATGGTAATTTTCACCACCTGCTCAGGGTGCTGTCCACGGGCCTTGTTGCACGGTTACCTCCTCCCACCCCTCACCTTGCTATAACAAGCTTAAGTCATCTACCTACAGATGCAACCCAGGCCCACATCCACTCCCCAGGTCCTCCCCCTCGGAGCTGGCACTTCGTGCTGATCCCTGCTAGCACCCGTGGTCCCTGCATGTACACTTGATGGTCTCAAGCCCTCTTTTTCCTCCCCCCAGATTTTGGAGAGCTGAGGTTCGGCATCTTTTCCACGACTTCCCAAAGTCCCTTGTACCCTCTCTGGGCAGAGCCCAGGCAGAGAAGGGGACCCGACTGGACATAAGTCTGTTCCCCGTTAAACGGTCCACAAGTAATTTGCATAATGGAGCTGCCTGCGAGTGCTCACTTCCTGGGTCGTTTCCTGACCTCCCTCCTGGTCACCTTAGGGTGGCATCTTGTTCCCAGGGTCCGTCCACATCGCACCGGCAACCCCCACCCCAGGCCTTGCTTTCTTAGGAGACTGCCGGCGGCGGGACCCTCTCCGAGACCCCGGGGACCTTCTTCACAGCTCTCTGCGCCCCGCAGCGCCGGTAACAGGCGAAGGGACCGCTCGAGGGCCGCCACCGCCGAGGTAGGAGGGGCGCCGCGGGCCGGCATCCCGGAGGGCGGCCCGCAGGTGGCGGCGCGGGGCGGCGGGCGGGGCCGGGGAATGGGAGGGCTCGGCGCGCGTCCGGCGGTGACGGCAGCGCGGAGGGGAGGTGCGAAGCGCCCGCCCGCGGGAGCCATGGCGAGAGGCCGCGCCGCGGCGCCCGCTTCAGTCCCCGCGTTTGCAGCAGCGCCCTCGCCCGCCGCCCCGGGGCCCACCCGGCCGCCGCCCCCGCGCGCCCCGGGCCCGTGACGCTCGCGCGCTGCCAGCAAGGCGCCCCCCGGAGAGGGGCTGAGCGCAGGAGGGTGGCGCGGGGGCAGCCCGAGCGCATCCCTACCGTTCCTAAGCGAGCACTCCGACCACCCCCTCCCCGTCCCGGCACCTCGGACCCCGAGCCCCTGGCGCGCCAGGGCGGCGGGCGGGCGGGCAGCAGGAGCCCGCGGCGAAGCCGAGCGCCCCGCCGCGTGTGCCCAGTGCCGCCCGGCAGGCTGCTGCTGCGGAGGGAACCGGAGCCGCCGGGCGGCCGGGGCCGAGCTGACGACGACGAGGAGGAGGCGGCCGCCAGAACCGAGCGCCGGAAGCCCCCGGGACCGCGCCTGCTGCGGGGCCGCGCTCGGTGCGCCTCTTGCGGGTAAGCCTCTGGCGCGTCGGGCCTGGGGGCGGGGAAGGACGCCGCGTTCCGGGAGTGTCACGCGCGACCGGGTGGCCGGCGCCCGCGCTCCGAGGGACAGCCCCGTTCCAGCAGCGGCCGCACCTGCGGGAGGCCCGCGGGGGCCCTGGGCGGGGTGGGGGAGTCCCCGGGGGTGTCGTGTCGGCCCCGCCGCGTGGCCTGGCTACGCTGAGGTGACAGTGAGGCGACCTTCAGAGAGCCCCGAGCTGGGCCAGGCCGGAGCGCGGGCAGCACCCTGCGTCCAGCTCGCTCGCAAAACTTCCTCGCGCGTGCCGGCTTCGGAGCGGCAGAGGTTTTTACAGGGCCTCTGTTGGCGTTCTGAGAGTTAAGTTTACTTGGGTCACTTGTTTGGGACAGGAGTTGGAAGAATTCTCTTCCAGTGCCAAGGTCAGCATCTTGCAGGTAGAAGGGACTTGAGCAAAGTGCATTGTTTTCCTCTTTGGTACAGCTGGGTTGCGGGGGGCTGCCGAGAGGCCGCGCGCTCTCCGGGCGGCACTGGACGCCCCCTGCGCCGTCAGCCTCCCCGTGCGGGGAGCCCTTTGCGTCCACTTCGGGAGCCAACAAGGCATGAGTGTTCAGGCTTCTGATTTTTTTTTTTTTAAATCCCCCTGATGTTTCGCCAGAACTTTTTACTTTTCTAACAGTGTATAAGCGTTAGTGTCTGCTGTGTGCAGCCGGGATGGGTACCCTTTCCTGGAGGGCTGTGGGGGAAACAAGCGAGTTCCAGGGTTCTTTGCAACTTCCAGCTACGAGAGCAGCAAAGAGGGCAGTGGTCGGACTGTGCCCTGCTCCGCTGGGGAGCGGGTCTCCAGCGAGGGGGAGGGTCTCCCATGTAGGAGTAGAGGATGACAGGCAGGGGACTTCACTGGTTAGCTCAGAGGGTTGGCCCCAGGGTGACAGATGGCCGCTTTCTCTTTGGTCGTGCTCCTGTGCCCTTTGGTCTCTGACCCCACCTATCCCACAGCTCTGGAATAAGGGTGCGGCAGCTGGAGAGAGCTCTGCTCGACCGTGGGGATGCCGAGCTGCTCAGAACGCCCGAGTCCAGGTCCAGCACGTTTGGCTAGAGTTGGGTTTCAGCTTGGCCACGGCACCAGAGCCATTTCCTGTCTGATGCCCCAGGGACCTGTGGGGTTCGGTTTCCCATCCCCAGCTCTCTGTCGAGGGTGTCTCCACCCTGGTTTTGTTGCTTCTGCCCTTTCTCTCCGGCGAGTTAAGAAGGAAACCTGGATTCAGATTCCAGCTCATCTCTCCTGGCCTGTGTGAGCTGGGGCCTTTGCTGAACCTCTCTGCCCCGGCGGGCGCTCCTGGCTCTGGGGTTTCTCCTCCCGTGGCCCCTCCAGCATGGCCCTGCCCTCAGGATTACGGAGAAGTGCTTGAACCGAAAGTGGAGACGTTTGCACCACAGGGGAGGGTTTTCTAGGCTCCTTCCTACTTGGGTGTGTGACTTGGTAACCTTTCTGAGCTCCAACAGGGATAATAGGCAAATATTACACTAGTAACGATCAGTTTTTGTAGGTTTATTGTGAGGGCCACATCAGCTCGTGTTAAAGGGCTTTGGGAATAACAGAGCATTCTTCCCACCGAAAGGGGTTCTGAGAGTTTCAGTTTCCAAACCAACCTCCTCTTACTGTTTGCCCCCTGGCGTAGACTCTGTCCCTGCCCCTAGGCTGGAGAGCAGAGGTTTTCCCAGGTCCATCAGCCATCAGTGTGGGCAGGCAGACATGGAGGCCGGACAGTTTACCTATAAGGCATGGTTGTTGTTGTTGTTGTTTTTCAATAAATACATTGATTCATTAATTTCAGAGACAGAGAGAGAGTGCTCCCATCTGTTGGGAGAGTGCTCCCAAATGACTACAGTAGCTAGGGCTGGGCCAGACTGAAGCCAGGAGCCAGGAACTCAATCCAGACTTCCCTCATGGGCCCAGCCAGTTGAACTGTGACCTGCTGTCTGCCAGGGTGCTCATAAGCAGGAAGCAGGAATTGGGAACTGAGCTGGATCCTAAACCTAGGCTCTCCCATAGGGGTCTTTTACCTTCCCTAAGAGCCAGTTCTTTTTCTCCTCATGGCCCAAGTCAGAAAGGCTGGGAAAAGCGAACACTTCATTTGCACTCACGGAGGGTTACAGATATCTGAGAAAGCCTTTTGTGTGACCCACAGTTCCACACTCGATGGTTGGGAAGTTTGCTGAATTTGGGGATAGTGTTACAATGACCAGCCTCTTCTCAGCTCTGGTTCCACAATCCTTGGGTTTGCAAGTGGACTCTGATCACCTTTACATCTCCGGATTTCCCCTGCACTGGGACTTTACAGGGGGAAGACAAAAGGATGCCCCTTCCAGAAGATGGAGCCAGGAAGCACTGACTCCAGGTGTACAACAAGGGCTCTGTGTTGGTTAGGGACTGCTGGGCGCAGATACGCTGTGGACTGGGTCTTGGGTTTCCTCCTCCCCTTTTCCCTCTTTCTGAACAAATGTTCCCTATTCTGACTTCCTTCTTCTTCCCTGCCCCCTCCTCCTCCTCCTTTAATGACTTGAGATACAGAGAGCCCCTGTCTTCTGGTATACTCTCCAAATGCCTGAAGCTGGGTGCCAGGAACTCAGTCCAGGTCTCCCACGTGAGTGGCAGGAGCCCAATGACTTGAACGTCCCCTCTGCCTCTCGAAATCTGCATTTACAAGAAGCTGGAGTCAGGAGCCAGAGCTGGGAATCAAACTCAGGTTCTTGGATGGGGGACTCAGGTGTTTTCATGGATGTTTTAACCATGAAACTAAATGCCTGCCCTCCGCTGCTTATCAGGTGTATCCAAATGGGGACCCCCGCTTTAGTGTGAAAACTCCCAGGTTTTAGGGAAGAGAGAGTAAATGCCAGCATGACACACAAATCTGGATGTCTTTGAGCTATGCCTGATACTAAATGTTCTGCAGCTGCTTAATGAAAGGTTTTGTGTTTCATAAAGGTCCTTGTAGCATTTTTTTGTTGTTTTAGAAACTCATTTAGGGGACGGCACTGTGGCACAGTAGACTAAGCCTCGGCCTGCAGTTCTGGCATCCCATATGGGCATGGGTTTGAGTCCCAGCTGCTCCACTTCTGATCTAGCTCCCTGCTCATGGGCCTGGGAAAGGCAGCTGGAGTTGGCCAGGTGCTTGGGCCCCTGCATCCATGTGGGAGACCCAGAAGAAGCTCCTGGTTCCTGATTTCAGGCTGGCTTGGCCCAGCCTTGATCATTGGTGGTCATTTGGGGAATGAACCAGTGATGGAAGATCTCTGCGTCTCTCTTCTCTCTCTGTCTCTCTCTCTCTGTCTCTGTATCTCGCCTTTCACATAAATAAATAAATCTTAAAAAAAAAAAAAAGGAAGCTCATTTAATTATGTCGTGGTTAATAGTGCCCCTGAGGTGGAAGAGGGAGAGGAGGCTGCAAGGGGAGCTCTTAAAATCCTCATTTGGACTTGTGGTCCAGCCTTGTAGGAGCTGGGCTCCTTGCCTTGCCTGTTGAGGGGTCAGAGGTTTTTCAGGAAGGACTGGAAGTCGCTTTGATGAAGTCGTGCAAATAGTGGTGGCTGCTCAGGTCACAGCCCTGGGAAAGTCCTTTGACCTCCGGGTCTCAGGCTGAGACATAGATTACGCTGATGCTTCCTAAACTTGGCTTCCTTAACCCTCAGGGCAAAGGAAACCTGGAAAGGGAGGTGTTGGAATTTATTCTGAAGTCTCTGGCACAAGCCTCAACTTTTTTGGAAGTTAATGATTCCTTTGAGGAATACATTGTAGGATCATCTTGGTTTTCTATAAGAAATGCTGTAAGTGCTGACTCAGGCAAAAAGCACTTGCAGATGCTGCACCTTATCTTTGGGGTTCTGGGACTCCCTCCAGCTTACGTCTGTGTGTGTGTGTGTACCCCAGTTTGAAGCTCCTAGTAGCTTATCTCTAGGGTCTCTGTTAGTTCCAGACGTGAGGATATGTCGGGCATTCAGAAGCAGAAAGTACTGCCCTCCACCCTATGGCTAAGATCAAGTGTAGTATCTCTTCTTATCAATTTAATATCCTCTATCTGAGGCCATGATATTAAATGGATATTTAGGAACTAGGCAGGGGGAAAAAGCAGAAAGTGATCTACTAAAAGGAAATGAGTTTTGTATTAACATGAGAGGGATGCGTCCGCATCAAGGGGGAGTAGGTATCTCAGTAAATTCAAGCACCGCCAGCATATGCATGGTCTGGATGTGTTAAGGGAGACCATGCTGTGTTGGGGCCGGTGCTGTGGCACAATGGGTTAAAGCCCTGACCTGAAGCACCAGCATCCCGTATGGGCACCGGTTCGAGTCCTGGCTGATCCTCTTCCCATCCAGTTCTCTGCTATGGTCTGGGAAAGCGGTGAAGGATGGGCCAGGTCCTTGGGCTCTTGCACCCGTGTGGGAGGCCCAGCAGAGACTCCTGGCTCCTGGCTGCTGACTTCAGATTGGCTTGGCTGCAGCCATTGTGGCCGTTTGGGGAGTGAACCAGAAGCTGGGAGACCTCTCTCTTTCTGTGTGTCTACCTTTCTCTCCAGCTGTGTCTTTCAAATAAATGAAAATAAATCTTAAAAAAAAAAAAAAAAAGAGACTGTGCTGTGAGTTTTCAGAGGACTTTCACAATCTTTTTCTTTCCTTATGAATTAATTGAAAATAACCATGAGCATGTGAACTAAGCGGCTTGGCATTTGCTGAGAAGTCTCTTCAGCACCTCATTCAGAGCACTTGGCTCTTACTACACGCCTCCTTTATGACTGGACTTACTAGATAACATGATTGTGTTGATTTTAACAATGCCATGGTCTGCTGATTTATGTTCACCCAGATTAGCTATTAGCAAATCCCATGTGCAGTTACATAGACACAGGTTTGTTTATGCTACTTAAAACAGATATCAATTAGAATGGAGATGTGTGGGACTTTTTTTCTTCCTTTCTAATCTTCCCAGGGTTTTTTT